AAAAGAAAAAATTAATTATAATGGGTGAAAATAAATTTTTTTCAAAATTATCACAAAATTTACTTGAAATTTTAAACGATGAAGAATATTATGATATTACAATTGAAGTTGGTAATGACCCTAATGTAAAAATATTTCGAGCTCATATGGTTATTTTAAACTATCGTTCTCCTTATTTGCGAAGAATTTTATCAACAAATAAAAAGAAGAATGATGGAATTTTAGTACATATTAAATTGCCAAATATTTCACCAGATATTTTTCAAGCAATCTTAAGGTAGGAAATAAGAATTTAATTATTATTTTATCTTATAAATACTTAAATACTTTATAATTTATAATTTCAGATATATTTATGGAGGAAGTCTTTCTATAGGAAACTATGATACTTCAGATATCATTAAAATCTTGTTTGCCGCTAATGAACTTAATCTTCAAGAATTAGTTGAAACTTTGCAGCTATCTTTGATTGAAAATAATGCAAACTGGATTGAGCAAAATTTTGATTTTATTTATCAAATGAGTTTTGAAAATAATTCTTTCTTGGAACTTCAAAAATATTGTACCGATTTAATATCCAAAGAACCGGAAAAGATATTTAACTCATCAAATTACTCTTCAATTTCAGAAAAAATTTTGATTTCTCTCATTCAAAATGAAAATCTTCAAATGAGCGAAGATCAAGTTTGGGAAAATGTTCTTAAATGGGGACATACTCAAAATCCGGAACTTTCTTCAGATCCTGCAAGTTTATCAAAGGATGATTTCAATGTATTAAAAAGTACTTTACAACATTGTATCTCTTTTATTAGATTCTATAATCTAACTTCTAAAGAAATTTCAGATACAGTGATACCTTATAGGGAAATTCTACCTGAGGAATTATATGTGGATTTATTGAAAAAATTTTTAAACTTACATCCTGAAAGCAAGCCTATTGATAAGTCGAAACCTCGTAATTTTCATAAACAAAAAAATGTTGATTCAAAAATCATCACATTTCAACATGCTGAACTAATCTCAAAATGGATTGATAAATTAGACATTACAGATAAACTGAATGCTTCATATGAATTCAAATTAATACTTCGTGGATCTCGTGATGGGTTTACACCTAGTAAATTCCATGAGATTTGTGATAAACAGTCTCGTACTGTGACAGTGATTAAAGTGAACAATAGTAACGAAATTCTGGGAGGATATAATCCGATTGAATGGAAGTCCAATAATAATTTTGGTGTTACTAAGGATAGTTTTATATTCTCTTTTGAAAATGTTAATAATATTGAAAAACATATTTTAAGTCGTGTAAAGAATGAAAGTAAAGCCATATGTAGTGCGAGTGATTGCGGTGCGTACTTTTATGACGACCTTGTTATGTGGGGAAATAATTTTTATAATAGTAGTCATTGTCGAAAAAGTTCTTATGAAAAACAAATCAGAAACACTGAAAATAAATTTTTTGTAGAAGAATTTGAAGTCTTTCAAATTATAAAGTGATAATCATTTTGTGTTTTTTTTTTAATTTTACGTATAATAAATAAAATGTTACTTTTTCAAATATATTACTAAAGTTATATATGAATGATTGTAAAAGAAATCTTGACGGCTGTGTAAATAAAATAATGGGTTTAAAAATTATATAATATATCGGATAAGCATGTACAGAGTACAATAGTTTATCAAAAAAACGTACGACCAGAGACTTTCCAATTTTATAGATAATGTATTTAAATTTAATAACCGTTTCCTTTGTTGTTTCACTCAATTTTTCTCTTTATTATTTTTTTATATTAAACGTTAAGATCAAGTGTTGAAAATGAACCATTACGTCATAGATAAAATCTCTCATACAAAGAATTTTTTTTTTTAAAAAAAAAAATATTGATGATTTTGCAAAAGTAAGGTTACGTAATTGATTTATATTGAATAGACCATTCTAATGGCTTTTTATGTGATTTAGTTTATTTAATTTATTTATATGTTTTTCTAGATTTTATTAACTGACCTGATTTGGGCATATTAGATTATTTTTGACCATTATTAATGTTCTGTTTGTTTTGTAAATTTAATATGTGATTTGTTTTTTTCGAAAAATGTGAGTGACCGTATTCATGAATAAATTTACGTGATTATAATTCGATCTGATACAATTCCAAATAATTGTCACTTATTTGATATCATCTTAATTAATAACCACGATTACATTTCTAATTACACCAGCAGAATCGGGGAAAGTATATTTTCCATCTGTAGGTCGTTTAGCTTGATCAATACGATCAATGTTGAAAGTAATACTTCAATACTATATTTAGTTAAACATTTTATTTACAGTTTACTTTATTTATTTATTTTGTCATTTAATCTTACCTA